GGGACACTGACTGGTGGTTCCTCTTTGCTGTATCTTCAGGTCTGCTCATCTCTCACTGCTGTCTATGAGCAGTTAGACACAGTCAACTTAATTTCAGTTTCTTAGATTATTTCCACAAACTTTCTATCTCTGTAGCACCTACCACTAGTGACTGCTGAGTCCCTTCTGTCTCCCAGGTCCCACGTTCTCTTGACTAAAGCAACACCCGACTCTGAAAGTAAAATCATTTTGTTTTCCCACTAGAACAAAGTGGTGAGCACTGAGCGTGTACACAGACAAAGGCAGCATCTTAGGATGGGAAGACTTTGACCCAGTCTGCAGAGACCAGTGACCTCTAATTTACGAGAACTAGCCCAGGAAACTAGCCTCCTGTCAGTCAGACATGGTGGAAGTTAGACTGCTATTTCTATTAATGATCCAGGAAGCAAAACAGTAACTTCACTAATCATCAGATTCAACTGGCTCGGGCCTGATTAATGAATAGCTTTCCTATGTTTTACCCCAGCTTCCTACTTTAGGATTAACAATAGCAGTGCAATGTGCTCCTGGGACCCACCTCTAACTGCGTGCGCCCTGCCTGCGGAACCTGATGACAGCCTCTTCCTGCCAGCAGATTTTCCACTAGAAAGCTATGCGACTCATCTTTCTCCTCTGAGTGTGCAAAAGTGACCCTGAATACAGCCTTTGACATTTTTGGGGTGGTGTTGGTGATCTTAAGGTATCTCCACAGGAGCAGTAAATGAGAAAAACAGAAAGCATTCAACTTCAAACACTATGTTTGTTTATTCTGAAGTTCCTGTTAGTAACTTTCAAATCTTGTAATACGTCTCCTATGCTTCTGCATGCCTGCTACCTCTTTGCTACAACAGCAAAGCAGACCTCGTCTCCCCAGGCTCTGGATGCCTGTTGTCCCTAGTCTTCCCGTGACTTTGATTATCAGTCACTCTTTGCTGTATCTTCAGATGTACTCATCTCTCACTGCAGTTAGATGCATTCAGAGCTCTCACACCCTGAACTCTTTCCCTCAGAGCCCTACACCAAGGCCCCTGCTGTCTATCCGTGTCTTCCTCATCTCAGAGCCTAGCTATTGTAATTACTTGTCTACTGTTCACTCCCTATAACCATTCCCAGTCTGCTGTAATGCAAGGTCCACATTGATTACTCAATTAAACTGTTCTAAGATCACCAAGGGCTTTGTTTTCACCAAATATAATGTGTATTCTAAGTGTCCGATATTGTGACCAAGCATGTGGGAGAATCTGACACTTCGGGGTTTCTTCATCTCAGAAATGACCTAGCTAAGCACTGGCTTGTAGCTTTACGACAATTACCCTCACTGCAAGCTTGAAGACATGATGTTATATCATTCCTATTTTGGAAACCCAGATTCATAGAGGGTAAATTATCCCCTGCAGAACAAACACCTGTTCTTCTTCCTCCCTCTGAGATAGCATCAGTGTCCTATAGCAAAATATCCTGACTGTCCTTAACATGAATCCAGAAGCATGAGCTATGGTCTGTTGTATGCTGGGCATCACTATTGTCTATCCCCTAAGCAGTATCTGACACATGGAATAAACCTAATGAACAAGGTCATAAAAATACTCAGATAATTGTTTCTGTTGGGACATGTGGTCTGCTTTAAAAGCAAGTAGGGCCTTAAAAAAACACTTCAACCTTGGAGTCCTCCAGAGGATTTTACCTGGTTACACTGAATTCAGTGAGGAATAAGAAAAGCCCCCTCTCTCTCTCTTTTCTACCACACACATTCATCTATTTTTAAAAAGGAAGACTTACAATGTTATTTGGTATCTCTAGCATGTGCCTTTATCAGAGCTGGGTGATACTAGTTTGTGGTATGAGTTGAGCCGCTGAGTCTTCTGTTTCCCATTATTTATGGATATAAATTTGACTTCCTAGTATTTAAATGTGAAATCTGCTACTCTGGAGAAGTAAAGTCTAATTACAGAGTTAACAAGACAAAGGGGATAAGAATGTAGATTTATTGCACTGTTTTCTCTCTCTGCACTGATTTATGCTGGACAGAGCAGACACAGACAGCTGGAGGAACAATAGGTGTTAACACAAAGGGTAAGGAGAGAGACTCCTCAAATTCCAGCAGCTGAGCCACAGTGGGACCACAGGGTGTTCATTCTAGGCTCTAACAGAGCACCTAAAAAATACCTACCAGAGTAAAAGCACCAGTGCCTCTTTGCCATTCCATTTAAATATTGTTAATACTTAGGAAGTATCCCCCCAAACAGCCACTACTGTGTCAAAGCTTGCTTAGCAATTAGAAGACTTCTTTCTTTAATGGGAAGTAATAGCATAGGGTAGTAGTACATATTGATGACATGAAGGGTTTCTAGAGCAGTCCAGCACAGGAAGCAAACAGACTCAGGGAGGTTTCTGGCTCAAAGTGATACAGGCAAAATATCTGGCAGGAAACCTATAACTTAGGGAGAGAGAACTTAAATTTAGATTTTGAGAGGGAAGATAAAATATCCAAAGTAGTTTGCATAGATGGAAGTCAGATGCTTCTGGATGCCATACTGAAGGACGTCAGGAGGGTGTGCTGAAGTTCCCATGAAAGCTAACTGCGGCACTCCTCACAGATGAGGTCCTACATGTACACACTAGACAGGGAACATAGTCACAACCCTACAGAGCAGAGGAAGGTACTAGAAAATAGAAGCTGAAGTGTGGACACTTTAAAAGACAGGAAAATGGAAAAGCTGAAGGTTGGGAAGTTTACAGCAACAGAAAGGGCTGAATTCAATAATCACAAGGACTTCCCAGCTCTGTGCAAAGCAAAGACGGCAGATTTATTTCTGCCTGGAGAATATGCTTTGATACCTGTGACCAGAGACCTGCTTGGCTTCCACTGTCTCCAAAGGGGAAAGTGGTATTGCATGTTACAAAACAAGGAAAGGACTCCAGGCACAGATGATACTGCAGGCCTTTGCTGGACTAGCTTATTGAAAGAATGTCCAACTAATCATCCTCAAGAGCAAAGTTTTTCTTTTCAAAGATGAGAGCTTTACTTTGTGTGTTAACTCGGGGACATGTGTATCACACAGCAGATGAACCAGGAGACGTTGAACATTTTCCCAATGGGTATCTATCAGCAGATCTTTGAGACAGCCTTGAGTGATGTGAGATTTTGTCCTTGGGCAATCTCATTCAACTCTCTTCATCTTATCCACACACAACAGAACAGTAGGAAAGCAAAATGAAAGAAACAGAAGTGAGACTCAAAATGATCTTAAAGAGTTACAGTTAGAAGCCACAGCACTGTCCGGGGTGAGTCTTATGGGATGTGAGTTACACTTTAATGAAGTTGTATGTATATATACACACATATACATTAATACAAATACAATTGTGTAAGATAAAAGCAACAGGAGGATGTTTAAACTCAAAATTGTAATTAAAGCCACACATGTGAGTAAAAGGCCCACACCTGGCTCAAGGACAGCTTAATTGGCAAAGGAGTAGCACATGAGCAGGTGAGTTTGCTGTAGGCCAACAGCATAGTCCACTGGGTTGCCGTTTCCTAAGTCCTGACCCTCAGCATCTAATGGAACACCCACTACAGAGCAGACATATGAAAGTAGTCCTTAAATAGGTACACTACAGAAAGTAACATGACAGACAAGCCCCAAACCTCACATCATCTTAATGTAGGTGGTGTGACATCTTTTTAAGTATATGCCCTTTCTGTCCACCTAGACATCCCGATTGGATAAATGGTATTTTCTTTGCCTGTCATAGTGTGATGTTCAGGACAGCAGCAAATTTAACCATCATCTCTCACACATTAGGACAACTGAATTAGATGAAAAACTAGAATTGTAATGTACACAGCCACTCTAGCAATGTCCTGGCATGATATAACTCTATGAAAAGATACCTTACACAGACTAAAAACAAGTCATCATTGTTACTCAGTGTTTAGACTAGACACCAATTTTGGAGGTCCTTCCTTTATTTTTCATTTTTTTGGTGGGTGGTAAGGGAAAAAATATCTCATGGGAGTAACTTTTCTTTGATTGTATGTCATTGGTAATGTGTCTGATGTGACCCCAATACTGTTACTTCTCCAAGTTCTATTTCACAGGAAGATTTTTATCACTCTTTCAGTCAATTACAAGATGCTTTAGATCCATGGCAGGGAAGAAAAACAAGGGCCATGTGTCTAGGCCAGGCCTTTCCCATAAGGCAATGGAAATCTTTATTTATGGGAAAACTCAGAAGGGAGTTGGCTACCTTCTATATATCAGGACTTGGGACTGGGTTAAAGGCTGTCTAGGCAAAGCATGTTTTCTGGGACTTAGGACTGTGAAGGGTTTGTGTTTCAATCAGTGGTCCCAAAAGGAACTAAGAACTAGCAATGGCTGTCTCTAGTCATGAACACCCTCATTTAGACTATCATTAACAAATGATCCCTTAGTAAAGTGAGTACCCAAGCAATGAAACAAAGATCCTACCATTTTCCAAGCCACAGTATAACTCTCATTTTTTTTTTCTTTTTAGGACTGTGCTGTCCTGAGAAGAATATGTTACCTCCAGTCCAAGAGGAACACCAGGAGCATGGCCAAGGTGGATGTCTAACACACTGTGTTAAGTGTCAGAACAGCCACACACCAGGTGCTGTGGAATCAGGCACAGCTTCAGATCAGCCAAATCTTCGTCAGCTGCAACTCTACAGGGGATATTTTATACTACCAAGTCAGCAACTTCGATATTTATGAGTTACATGCAATGTTATGGTGAGATACAGATTTACCTTGTAGAATAAACCAAGCTAACAACAAATTTACTACCACACATACTTTCTTGTGATGATATTTAAAGCTCTCAACAATTTTGAGATGTACAGCATTATTAATTGTTAGAGGCATTGTTCTGTGTGAATGCATTAAGGTGAATTCCTTATGCACAGTCCAAATACAACTCTGTACCCTTTGATCAGTATTTCTCCTTTCTCTGTGCACTCCTCTTCCCCAGCAGAGCTGATCACCATTGCACATTCTCCTATGACCTCAACTCTGCTAATTCTACATAGTATTATTTACTATTCTGTGGGTATGATAAAATACCATGAGCAAAAGCAACTTACAGGAAGTGTTTATTTTGGCTTGCAATTACAGAAGGAGAGTCCATGACAGGAGATGACGAGAGCAGAAGGTTGAGCCACCACATCTGGATCACACAGGCAGCAGAGAGCAAGAACTGGAAGTGGGATGGGGCTATTGACTCTCAAAGTCAACCCTTAGTGATGTACCTCCACCAGCAAAGGTCCCATACTAAAAGTTCCATAATTCCTCAAACAGCAGCACCAGCATTACTTCCTTCCTTCTACTGATCTTGAGATAGAGTCCTTGCAATATTAAGATTCCCATGAGTGGGAATAATAAGACTTTTTTTTTTTGTCTTATGTGTTTTATAGCATGTTCTTTATGTGTTTCAGAGCAACATGTGTTCTACATTGTTGGGTGGAATGGTCCATACCACATGTCTCTTAGGTCCTTTTGGACTAATATTTGTTCAAATCCACTGTTTCTGTTTTGATGTTCTCCTCTCTGCTGTACTTGTGGGAAGTATGAAAATGTTTGCCATCACCTTATCCCAGTCTATATGTCTTTAGCACTAAGAAATATTGCATTTTGTTTTGAATCCATTCAGCCACTCTGCCTTTATTTCAAGTAACTATTGACAGGTAAGACTTACTAGAGATATTTTATTTTTTACTGATTGTTTTTACAATCCTCTAATCGTTTCTTACAGTTTTACAACTTTCTTCATGAAATGCTGTATTCCTGAAGCAGTATGCTTCAATTCCTTTGTCATTTTACCTTTTGCGTATCTACTACAATGCTTTCATCTTTGGGTAAATCATTGAATTTTAAAGCAAAATTCTTTGTTGCAACAGCAGATAGATACAGCAAGAAGCTAGGGGTTCGAATCGACGCTGGGAGGCTGTGAAGATAGTTTTTCCCATCATTTTTTGTAATACTAGCCATGATACTGTCCAGTGTATGAATCAGTCTTTGTGACTGTGTGTCTCTTTCACTGTAGTGTCTGTATGTCGGAGTTCTGAGTGCGAAGACCATGTTTTCACACCACTTTCCTGCACTTTTGCAGGAAAGTGCTTTCTTATGCTTTGAACCCTCCTTTTTCATTTTTGTTACTTTTATTTTTTGAAATTTAGTTCATTCAAATAATGGTGTATTTCTCTAACATTCTGTCCCGACTAAGATTGATATAGATGATCTGGTATACTTGCACATAGGTGTAATAACAACATTCAGGAGATTGAGGCAGGAAGATACTAAGATTAAGGACAGCCTGAGGTACATGGTGAGAACCTGCCTAAAAAAGCAAAACAAAACAAAAGATGCAAACAGGCTTTGGGGGAAAAGTTAAGTATAAGTAACAGTAATTAAGATCTTATTATGGCCCTTGATTTTGTTTACTATTTATTACCTAGGCTAAGCTGTGGCAATTTAGGGAACATCTCCAAATACTTGGTGCTTTCTTTTTCAAATAGAAGTTCACACATGAGCACACATAAGTGAGAAATGCAAAGTTAGTGACATATCCCAGGAAGCGCAGTGGACACTCTGACAGCTGCAATTTATCAACATACATTTTTTGCTTAGCTGCAAAGCTTTTGCCACAGGGAGATAGGGCACTTCTTAAATTGCCTCCTGCCTTCTTTAATAGTAATCTTAGTTTTTACAATCCAGATATCTCAGAACAAAAACGACACCTTGGTGCACAAAGAAAGAGGAATATTCAGATTTCATGTGCATCAGCAGGAGTATCCATCTTTAGATTAGAGCCCTTGACCCTCTGTCAGACGTGTCAACAGATTGCTTCTGCAAGAAAACAGAGAGAGAAGAGGATGCTTGGTGGTAAACAAGCCTGGGTGTCATTTCACTTTCCTTTGAACCAGAGGAAAGGCGGAACTGGATTCCCTGTCGCGATCTTTGTGGTGGTTCCTAACAGCATTAAGTAGGAAGAATCCTCTTCTTGCTAGCCTCACACCAACGACCTGATGGGAAATGCATGCATTTAACATTTCCCAAAGCTGGTACCACTATATATATATATATATATATATATATATCACTATATATATATATATATATATATATATATATATATATATATATATACACTTGTCTCTCTAAGCTACTTCGGGCACTTTAAACACTGTCTTTCTCATTTAAAAGCAGTATCAATTTGCATTTTAGGTATGGTTAAGATATGATAGTTTTTAAAAATTCACAGAAATCTCATTTGGGGGATACAATCACATTCCAGTGGAAGTTTCTAATAAAGTAGATTAGCTGAAACCTGGGCTCAGGTCCCCTTTAAAGCCTAAGCTTGCTTTACTGCAACCAGCTACCCTCACTGAAATTACCTGCCCACACATCTTATTTTTAGAAAGCCAGTTTTAAGACTGCTATTCACAATGCCAAATTCTTGAGTTATTTTCTTCTACTATTATAAGAGATGTTGGCTTAGCTGTTATAGAACTGACTCATTAAGAATGAATAATTTGCAATTTTGATAAGCTCCCCGCTGTTAGTCTTTGGGTAGTCTCCCAAAGACATGGAGGCAAGAGCAAAGATGTCTATAATCTCCTCATGGTTGCAAATTTATCTGTCAGTAAATGTGTAGTGGTAACTAGCTGTAGTAAACAGACTGCTGGTATGGTCACCTCTGCTGTAAGATCAGGAGCTAGCTGCCTATAGAGGTCACCTCCTGGTTCCCCAAAATAGGACATATGGTAAATTAATGCAGCAAATGAAGTTGATTTTTCAATCAACCAACCTGAAAAAAGTGATACTAACTTGGGTTTTGTAAATGGATCAAAGTGACCCAATGCTGCTGGGTTGGAAAGTAGAGGAGAAGAGAGAGAGAGAGAGAGAGAGAGAGAGAGAGAGAGAGAGAGACAGAGAGAGAGAGAGAGAGAGAGAAAGAAACACATTATCACTAAGACCATCTTAAATTTGAAGTAGGTTTTCCAAAGTAGTATTCTAGATAAGATTTCACTTCCTTCCCACAGCAACCATAGGAAGTGTGAAGAAAATGTTGCTATCATTCTATCACAGACAAGGAAACTGAGGCAGAGAAAGTCTAAGTGATTTACTATTGGCTAGGAGCCAATGGTGGATGTGTGTCCAGAATTCAGAACATCTCACTAAATCAACATTTAGGACTCAGTGTCTATTACCTATGAAACTCTGCATTGCAACTTTATCAGAGTGTTACAGTAGTGGAAAAGACCACACACAGAGGTTAGATAAGAAGGTGGGATTCCAAAGCAAACGCACAAAAGAACAGGAAAAATCAGGAGATAATTATCTGTTTGGGGCTAGAATATCTCCATTCTGTTCAATACCCATCCTAAGGTTTTTTTTTTTTTTCTTTCCTATCTAGAACTGGTAGTAGAAGATGAGAGAGTATTGGCTTTCTGTCCTTTTCCGTCCTTCACAAATTTCTCTTTTAACCTTTCAGACACATCAGGAAGACATAGTAGGTTTCCTGACCAGAGTATCACCCTCTTCCTGTGTTAGGGTTCTCTTTGCCCTTTTACTCTGGGCCTCGCTACCCACAGTGTGTCAGAGGATCAGTAACTCCATTTGAGGAAGCCTCGTAGGAAGGCAGGGTCCCAAGTCTCACCCCACCTTCTACATCAGAATCTGCACTTTAACAAGACACATTAAGATGTGAGAACTATTATGCTAGGCCCTCACTTCATGAATTAACTCCTCCATTTTGACCATTGGTCTCCTTACAGTCTTTCTCCTTCCTTTCCTTCTTCAAACAATCCAGGTCCACTATTAGGAAACAAGTGAGAAATCCAGCGACTCTTTTAATGACCAGCATCTTTTCAGCTCTCAGGTCATCACACTTTTGTTTCCCTGTTTCCCATGTTTTTGAAATTAATGCTATGTCCCTGTTCTCTTTACTTTGTATCCACATTTCTTTCTTAAAACTGTGAAACTCGACGTCTATGCCAAAGTAATTGGAGCACATGGATAATATGTACATGCATGCATGTGTGTGTGTATGTGTGTGTGTGTGTGTGTGTGTGTGTGTGTGTGTGTGTGTGTGCATGTTTGTGGATGTGGGGTGTGTATGCGTGCAGATTTTCACTCACAGGTGTAGATACAAATAGTTTACTTTGGTGAGGTTGGATCAGCGTTGGAGAGCTCCACAGTTACAAAAATGGAAATGAATGTCCTTTGCAAGCATTTGGTGCTTGGCCATTTCTGTGTGCCTATTCTCATCACACAGCTATTCAAAGTCATTCACATGTGTATGTCCCTGCTTAGTGGTTGGGTTAACCAGCTCCAGGCCAAAGAATGGAGTACCTCCTAGGCACTGCACTTACCTCAAAAGATAGAAACATCACACAAGTACACAGTCACAGAATTCTTGAGAAGGACAGTACCTTTAGGTCAAATGAATATCAGAATGGCTAGTCCATGTATAGGGATATATTAAAAATGAAGAAAGGACCAAACAGTCAATGGAAGTCAAGGGACTCCTCACCATCCAGTGTCACAATAAGGTTGGACAGTGAGGAACCAGAAGACAAAACAGAATCAGACCCTTCTCTTTGTCCAGTGACTTTCTGAAGGCATGTTGTACATTAAGGCATGGGAATGGTGATGCTTTAAAGTTCTCTGGGATCACAGCCCACGCGCCACGATGGAGTTCAGCAACCCACTCCCTTGTGATTGGATGTCGTGCTATTCATCAGATCTGCCTCGTATGAAAAAAAAAATGGTGAGCATAAAAGAAAAGAACCACAGTGAGAATGGGGGTGTACCAAAAGGTTAATGTGCTCTTCAGCCTACTTCTGACAGATCACCTAGCAGCCACACAATCTGTTTACGTGATGCATGCAGAAAGAACTGTCACACTTCACCTTTGGAAATGGGCCATTACTCCTGGTGACAGGTTATGAGTTGTGGAATATGCCCAGCACCTGGCCAGACAAAGAAGAGTTCATAAATCAGACTCAAAAAGAAATACCTGACTGACATCCATGAGTTCTGGGGGGATTGTATAAGACATGTAAGGAGGGGATCGGGTTAGTCCATGTGGGTGTATGTGTTCTCATGTGCTGGACACCACATGACAGCTACTGGCTTTCAAATATCTTTAAGGTTCTACAAAAGAACTACTTATTTTGTTTAATTTTTAAAAAAAAATCTAGGTAAGTCATTTTGTTTTCCCACATTTCTCTGAGGCTTCTAATGAAATGGATTATCTCAACCAAAAGTATAAATGGTTGATTCTCTAGAGTTGGCTTTATTTTACAAATAATCCAGAAAACAGCTACAACTTGGCAGATAATACTACACAAATTGCTAAATGGGTAGGAATCATTGAAATATAAGCATTTAAGAGCAAGCACAATTATCCAGAAAAAATGTCAACTAAAATGAAACACTGACACATAAATACCCACAGGGACAAATAAATCATCAAAACCCCTTAGAAGAGGAAGGGCTCCAGACTTTTGTTCTGAGGTTGGCATGAAATACTCAAATGTTGTTTTTTTTAATCTAAATTATTATCTAAAAATATGTTCCAGTGTACATGAAAGGCCAGGAAATGGTATCTTATAGAGAGGGATTGGTAACGAAGACAAGACTCTTCTTTTCCCAGTTCAGTCCAGGCTGATTGAGAGTTCCTTTCCCATCGCCCCACCCAGCCTCTTCCCCCGAGAAGTCGCTGTGCTCTTAGCACTTCTTTACCAGGAGGCTGGCGAAGTGTTGTCTATACATTTTTGAAAAGATAAATAAGGCTAAATCAATGTATAAGTCATTATTGTGGTGATTATTGCTATTATAAAGCTATAATTTTCTTGTTAAAATAACTGTATAGCTATGTTTTGAATATAGCACATGGTACAGAAAATAATAAAATGACGATAATTCATAATTATAAATAACAAATTTATAATAATAAAATATATGCCAAAAATTATATTTCTCATAAAGTCCCATTTCTAATAATATACTCTGTTTATCCAATGGCTGTTGCAGGTCTTTCTAGAATCCTGATAAATCTATCTTCATTATTTTCAAATATGAAATACTATATTTTTCCTATTTATTTTGAATATTAATGACTTACCCTATCAAGCCAAATCAGGTTCTCCTGTTCAGTGGCACAAAATCCTGTCGAATATGTCTTATTTTAGTGCATTTGTGGCCCTCACCAGCATCTTGCCCACTAGTAGCCAAAGGTATCCCCAGGCTCCGCTGAGTCCCACATCTTAGGCAAACAAGAACTTCCTCTCAAGGGCTGCCTCTGACTGTCCAGTTGACTTAGTAAACCTGGCCCAGAAAGATGCTCTTCGGGAGTACAGAAAGAACAGGCAGCCCTTATGGAGATGGTCCATTACATCGACAATTACACCTCCCTTCTCTTGCCTCAGTGTTTCCTTCAGATGATTTCTTCAGTGTCGAAACTTCTTGTTAAGGCCATAAACCTCCCTTGTGTGGCTTCTGACCATCTGCATTCCTGCGTCCAGATCCAGACCTGTACAGCCTATACACAGGCAGGTATGCACCCTGTCCAGCACATCCTGGGAGATGGTTCAGTCAGCCAGCTGTTATGCTCACTTTTCAGTCCTAACTTAAAATGTCCCATTCCATGAGATTTTTTTTTTCATGGTGCAGTTTATATTTGTTAGGATTTCTTCTCTAGGTCTGTTTGGTGCTTTTATTTTCTTTTAAAACAGAGTTTTGGAATAGTATCCTCTCAGTAGCAATATCTATTCTAGTATGAAACACACTCGAACTAATTGTCTGGGTCAAGTTTTGCATAGAGATATACCTACATGAAG